TCTTCTCTTATCAAATACTGGCTGCATGCTTCTCATTTATAGCCAAGGAAGTTGGCTCTTCAAACAAACCAAAAGGCCAAAGGGCAACCATGAACGATTGCCTCCCACATGCAAATCCTTCCCATTTCACTTTGTCTGCCAATGCCAAATACTATATTTGCACTTTGCTTTCCACCTTCTGCCAATTCACTTTGTCTAACATTAGTGCTCCAATATTAACAATACAATAAGGCAGCAACAAGTTCTCAAATAAACAAAGTCACCGAAAGCAACATTGCTTTTGAGACAATAGTCAACAATCTCCACCTTGGCTCAAAACCATCGAAGTAGAACTCCCAATAGTCGTCTCCCAATCCCTCACGGGGCAATCAACAAATTTTACAAATGCCAATCAAGTCTAAGCAGTGCTTAAACTTGAATAACGAAACTGGCTTCGTCAACATATCTGCAGGATTGTTGGTGGTTCCAATCTTCTCAAGAAGAATATCTCCCTCTTCAATAATCTCACGAACAAAATGGAACCCATCCTCTTCAGCAACTGTTCTTCCTTTAACAAATCATAAAATTCATCAAAGGTTAGAGAGGGTCGAAGATGAAGGGAGGTAGTAAATTCTTTGTATTCATGGCCTAGGCCATCGAGTATATAATCAATAAGTTCGCCATCAGAAATTAAGGTGCCAGCCGCAGTGACAGAATCAAAGAGAGACTTGGCGTGGATCAAATAATCAGCAACTGACTTTTCTGGATCCTTTTTGAGGGTGCGTATCTGATCTCGCAGGGTACGAATATAAGTTTTGGACAGGGGTGACAGTCGTTTCTCAAGCAGCGTCCATGCCTCATATGCTGTAGAACATGGAATCAGAAGGGTCTTAATAGAAGATGAAGCCGTGGCCTTGATCCAACTTAAGACTAGTTTGTCTTTTGAATAGGCTGGATTGAGAGAACCATCGGGAAGTTTCTTCTGAGGATGGGTTTCTGTCTTAATCACATCTTCCAGATCATGTAATTCTAGTACATCTTCAAACTGAGATTTCCAACAGAGAAAATTATTACGATCCATTGGTGTTGTAAACAAGTGAGCGATATTGAAAGAAGTTGGAATAGAAGATGGTGTGGTGGTCATGGTATTTTGAGAAGTAGTCTGAGAGACAGAAGAAGAGTTTATAGGAGAGGAAGAGTTTGTCATTAGGATCGAAAAGGGGTTGCTAGCCTCTGCGAGGCTCTGATACCATGTAGAGAAATAACTAGGGTTTAGAGAAGAATAAGAAGTAGAATAGAAAGAACACCCCACGATGAGTATTCTGGTTGTATTGGATTTCTTTTATATGCTATACAGTTGACTTTGTACATGAGTATAAACAGAGTAAATCATACAAACGGTAAAACATAAAATAGGCAGTTCCAAGATTACAGGGATTGATTGAGATAATGAAGCAATCACACTTAAATGGCTACAGACTGCCGTGACTTGTGGGGAGTGCCTTGCATATTCATTGGCTGATGGGTAGGATGCTCTTCACCTTTTAGATGCATCAGTCTTTCCAATAAATTGTCCAAGAATTTCCACTCCTATGCCAACATACCAATCCCCATCCTATAATCCTATTCCATTACAATTCCACAGCAAACTTTGTCCAAAAAATAAAATAAAATAATCCAGAGACCCAAACTGATTCCACAACCCCTTCCTTACCACCAGCAATTAAAATAAAGGGTGGTGCTAGAGGCACCAACTTTGGGCACCAACTCTCTAATAGAGGTGGAGTCCGCCAATACAACGGATCCCACGCTCTATTAGAGAGTTGGTGTCCAAAGTTGGTGCCTCTAGCATTTTCATAAAATAAAACACAGTACTCAACTACTCCTCGTGATTTATTCACATAATAATGAATACAACACACAAAATAAAACATAAATTGATCTCATTTCCCCAATGAACTCTTCTGCGCCTCAAGCTCGAGAGTAGACTGAGCCAAGCACCAAACTCTTCGTCTCTGGTATATCCCCTTTTTCCCATTTATTTACCTTTCATTTTCTTTCATAGTTCCTCTATTTCTTTAGTGGGTCATCGTCAAGGCCGGCTTTGAGAATTTGAGAGCTCTGTGTGAAACTTAAACTCAGGACCCTCACATTATCTAACATGAAGATACTATAAAAAAAATCGACATTTTAGTTTATTTTGCTATATGTTGTACAAAGCTGGTACTTTGCGCGGTAATTAATTCAATGATTTTGGAATTTACGAGTTTGTGGTTGGCGAGAAGATGAAGAAATTGGGATGTGAAATCATATTTCTTTTTCTTTTTTAATGAATTGGGCAACCTAGAAACTGAAGAACCGCTCAATTGATTGGTTTTGTTACTTCTGTTATAATTCTTTTTATTTTTTAATGACTTGGGCTCTCACATTGCAATGTACATGTGTGCAGATGGCAATTTTAGTTTTCTTTCCAACGCTGAGGGCCTCGAGAGCTGTGAACAGAATGAGGATAATGAATTCACTTATTCTGTTGCAATATGTGCCACGAATTTATCCAATATACAGATACTGCAAAAATCTTAACAAGAAGAAACTCGACAATGATATTTCTGATCCCCTAGAGAGTAAAACATGGTTTCCAGGGCTTCTCAATTTCATCCTATATATCCTTGCTAGTCATGTAAGTTTCTATTTGATGTTAATTTAAAATTTAATTATCATCTTTAAATAAAATAATTTTTTTTTCTTCATTATTGTCTGGGTTAGATTGAATTTTAATTTTAGTTCTCTGATTAGATACATTTTTTTTTAATATAGACGCGAATACAAAAGTGTAAGTACATTAATATACCTGTAAATATGAATTTAAATGTACTTATAATGAACATAACAAACATGGAAGAAATAAAAAAGACCAAATCAATTTTCATGCGAACACCGTACCCAATCTTAGTGCATGTATATGCATATTTCTTTGATATTTTCTTGAATTTTCTCTAAGTAAACTAAAGTGCTTCTTGATCTTTTAGGTATTCGGAGCATTTTGGTATTTCTTTTCTATTCAACGACTGATAGAATGTTGGGGATATGCTTGCCAAAGTGGAAATGGATGTGAGTTCCGTATTTTTTATTGTGATGATGGTACAACCAGAAATGTCACGCTTCTAAATGATTTATGCCCCATAAATCCATTAAATGCAAAAGTATTCGATTTTGGTATATATCTTGATGCTCTCCAGTCTGGCATGTTGGGGTCAACAGATTTTCCGCAAAAGGTATTGCAGTGTTTCTCCTGGGGCGTACGAAATCTAAGGTTTGGCCTACGATAAGTTCTGCTTGCATATTGCTCATTTTACAATAAGTAACTAAAACAATTTTACAATAAAAAATACACTTGGTTGAAAGTAAACATGTAAGTAATAGCAAAAATGATGTGAGGTTTCAATTTAGAAGAGTTCCAAGTTTGAATCTCATTTCTCTTAGTACTAATAATAAAAATGGTCATCCTTTGCAACCTAAAAGGAAGATATGGAATCCTCTTTCATGTTTTCCCTCACCTTTCCCCTCTCGTAGACTTTTTAACTCATTAAATCAAGATCCAACAGTTAAGCTGCTTGTGCTGCGTCAAGTGGTATCAAAGCGGGTATCTTCCGTCTCGGTATAGTTGATTTATCACTTGAGCGGACCTAGACGCTCAGAATGAACATATTGAAAACTTGACCAGTCAATTTGTGGAGATTCGTGAATTATTGCAACAAGCTTTGGGCAACAATGGAGAAAATAATAAAAGAGCTGACGGTGGCAATAATAGGGAGATAATGATGGACGAAACGATGGGAGACCTCGCGTTCAAGAGAGTGAATTGGAGTTAGAGGAAGAAATCGTAGAACCTCCCCCACACAATCCAAATCATCAAAATAACAACCGTAATCGCAACAATTTTGAAGATTACCATATTACAGCTCACATTCCGAATTTTGCGGGAAATATGTGAAGGAAACATGAAAATCCTAGTTATATTTAGCCACAAAGATAAGGTTAAGGTTACAATGAACCTTAGACAACAAAAGCTTTAAAATTTAATATTTGAGCTTTAACATAACTAACTCCAAGTATCTTGATGCTTGGTTTAGATTGTTCCACTCCTAGACATTCTAGACTAAGAGAAAGAGAGAGTAGAAACTTTACCCTTGAAGCACTACTCAAGGTTGACATCCTTTGACTTGATCACCTTATGGAAGACCTTCTAGATTCACCAAATCACCAATGGTGGTGATCTCTAACTTTTCCACACCAAGGAAGATGGAGGATATAATGCAACCTTGGAAGGTGTTGATGCGAAAAAGTGATTCAGCACCTTTTGGACTAACTTAGTGATGTTAGGCCTTCGGTATCCTCTTGGTCTTCGGTAGAGTGCGTTTATCTGTAAAATAAGAAGATGCTCGGTAAGACCTAGGGCACTGGTGTGGTACCGGCCGAAGGCTCTCCAATGCTTAAGTAAGTTCGGATTTAGTAAAGTTAACTGACAGATCAATAGACAGTATGCCGTTAGTTCTGATTACCTCCATTTTGGGGTGGCTGTCCTCTTTTATAGGCCTCGGGAGGTGTGCATAATGTTTACTATTTCGATGTGGAACTGTGGGTGTCGATTGTGAGCCTGCCACGTGTCCCGATGGAGGGCGTTGCCCTAATGGAGCGTTCGGTAGACAGGGTGCCGAATGTTACCCTGACTAGGCTTGTTTTCTTCCACGTGTCCTGTTCTCATTGGCTGCTCATTTTGGGTATAAACATAAGGAAATGATATGCTAGTGCTCACTTCTCAAGATGCACAAAAGGGAGACTTCCTTGGTGAAACTGGCCATGGGGTATTACTTGGGCTTGTTGGGCTCAAGTGGTCATCCTACTATGCCCACATAACTCAATTAGCCCATTGGGTCCAAGCCCAAAGGCCCTTAAACCCAATTTCATAGTTTAGGCCCAAATTACCTTTTCCCTACATTCTCTTAAATAATTTAATCTCTATTAAATTAATAAGTCTATGCACATCATATTTATTTCCTTCAATTTAACCTTATCAGTGTGCGATCCATTAGATTCTAATCGGAAAGGTAGTCGGCGATCCAAAACTCTTTATTGATCGATTGCGAATTAAAACTCCTTTTTAATTCTCCCTTTATATGAGAACTAGATTATATTTTGTTCTCATGGCTTCAAAAAACTGCGAGTGACATCAAGCAACATGTCACGTTTGCCCAAGCCAATATAGAATGGGGTTGTGAACCTATTCAGTTTGAAATTACCGTGTAAGATGGTCCTTCTCTTAATCAATGCTCTTGATCATGCTAATTGGGGCATTGAATTCATGTCAAGCCCTTAACATGATCTACAATCTCATGTGATTCATTAGAGCATGATCACAATCTCTATTATTGATCTAGCTCGTTGCTTTAGCCAAAGAATTTTGAGTCATATCTTCTGAGCATTCTTCTCCTTTACTGAAGGTAGAGATCCCTTGTTGTACACTTATATGTTTCCATGAATTGATCATGAACCCTAGTTATATCTTTGGGTTATGCCTAGAGGAACACAAAGCTTCAACATGGTTAAGGGCCCACGACGCTTCCATGAGACAACTCGTGGTGTCTTAGGTCATGGACTAATTTGCACTATTCCAATTTGAGAGATCCTAATTGACATGTAAGTAAAACTTTCATTCAAGTTCTCTTTGTTGATCGCGTTCAGTGAATTCATTCTCTATTGAACACCCATACACTTATCTTGGTGTCTCCATACGAATGAGTCGAGACCAGTGATCCTCCTAATTGAGCAGATATATTGCATGATGGTTTTTGCAGATTATTACTGTCCAGTTGATTATCCTATGACCACGAACTATTTAGGATGTGGACATGGTACAAAAAGGTCTCCTGAACTTAACTTCTTTAAGTCACTTTCTACGTCTCACGATCCACAGACCTATTGGTTAAGTAAATGACTAAGATTATTACTCAAAACAACATAATGCCCTTAATTAATTAGGTGAAATATCCTTAGAGTTTACATATCATGATTGGCTCTAGGGCATACTTTTAACAATATGAAGATTGAAGATTGAAGATTGAAGATTTCTTAGATTGGTTGGTGGAAGTGGAGAGATTCTTTGAGATAATGGAGGTTTGTGAGACCAGAATGGTAAAGATGATCGCTTTCCCTCTGAAAGCTACCACAGCCGTTTGGTGGGATCAAATGCAGAATACACGGCAAAGGTAGGGAAAGAATCAGGTTCGAACATGGCGAAATATGAAACAACTTATGATGAATCAATGACAATGCCTATGTTATTGATTTACCGGACTCCATGGGAATTTCCAATTGTATGAGTTCCTTGAAGACGAGGTTCTTTATCTTGACCATAACACGAGGTCAAGTTCTTCTAAGGTGGAGGGGATTGATGTAAAACAAATAGCGGAATGGATTGAAGAAGAAATGGACTGAAGATTGGAAAAGGGATGCAACTATGGAATTTGCAGATTTAGCGTCCGAGCTCCTAATGGAGTGCATGATACCTTTCCGGAAAGGAAATGGCGCCACAAGCCTAACTCACAACTTTTTGTGACATGTAGTGAATTTTGGGCTTATGAGGACATTTGGGCTTCGGAAAATAGCAATTACTCTTTTAATTAAATTTTGACTTTTCGTTTGTTTCCGTTTTGCTGGTGTTTGGTTTTCAATAACCTCTCCGGGGTAGTCCTAGGGTCGAGCATGTGTATTTAAGCAACCTTTATGTGTTGCCATGTTATTACTTTTGTTTTAATTAAAAAAATATATACTTTTAAGATTTCTCTCATTTTCCTAGTGGATTCCAGTCCCTTGTTCCTTCTAGGCTTACACTTGTAAGCTTTGTTTGCTTGTGCTGCATCAGATACTGTTGTATTTATATATAGCTTGCTCCTCTGATTGATTTTGCAGTTCTTTTGGTTCGAACCTCAAGACCAGTATGAATGCATGGGAAACCCTCTTTGTGGTTTTTATTTCTACAAGTGGCCTGCTACTGTTTATATATCTCCTTGGACATTTGCTGGTTGGTGATGATGCACTACTCTTTATGTAAAAATATATTCATCTTAATCTAAAGGCTCTTCCTTATATCACTTTTCTTGTTTTGAGTAGTTTCTATATATGTAAAATGGTCATGTTGAAAACCTATATATATCTATTATATAACGCCCATGTATAATGCATAGAAACTTGAGGACTGAACTAGTTTTTGTTGAATAGACATTTATGCAGGCGACTAACAAGGAATATTGGATTCGGCTGAAGATGTGGAAGATAGAGTCAGACATAGAACTGTTGAAATTAATACACATTTGTATGTTCAAAAATATAGAAAAATCTAGAAGCTTTGAGATGAGCCTAGACTATTGGAGAATTATCTAGAGAAAGCCACACACTTATGGAGTAAAGAGATCAAGTTGGTGGAAGAATCCAGAGTTGTGGAGAAAAGAATAAGGAGGTGGAACAAAAAGCAATTGAAGTTGGAAGAACTTTCTAGAACAAGAGAATGCCTATAAATAGGCATGCAACCACAATGAAATGTGGAGTGAACCAATCAACTCCAAATCTATAAGGGAGCCAAGAGCTACCCAAAGGAAGCTATGTTGAGAGCCAATAAGCTCACCAATCTAAGTGTAGGGCCAAATAGCCCAAACTAATCTAAGTCAAGTGTGATGGCCAATTAGCCAAAATACTAAGGTGGCCAATAAGCCAATATGCTAAGGAGGCCAATTAGCCTATACCAAGCTTTGTACTATTTTCCTCCAAATCTAATAAAATCACTTTGTTTGATCTATTGTCTATTGTCCTAAACCCCTTCACCACATAAATCAACAACGGTATCAGAGCAACACACATCACACCACCTCCTACAAACTAACAAGAACGAATGTCAGATGAATATGGCCTCTCTAATGCATCCGGGGATATCCATAAAATAGTACGAAGACGACTTCGACGAGAGGAAGATCTTGCTGTGGAGAATATATTCTCTATTCTTCCCTTAAAAGTTCAAGACATTATCAAGCGCCATCTCTTCTTCGATAAACTAAAGACAGTATGTTTCTTTGTCTACCAAAAAAGTATTGAAAAATCAACACCACCTTTCTAAGTAGACTAAAAGACGAAGGACTATATTAACTGATTTGAGAGTTTCGAGTTGAGGACTTAATAATCAAAATTTTAAAAAGTTAAAAAACCCCTTGTAATATACAAATTGTGGTTACAAGCAACAGATTCACACTAGTGTGAGAATAGAAAAGTATAAGTTATCATTAGCTCAAATAGAAAAGAAGAAGAGGACGTACAAATTTTTCTCACACATCTTGTTTGCTAGCTTTGTATCGATCTCTTAATGTTTCTCAATTACATGTATGTACTTAATCTCAGGTGCCAACGCTTCAAGATATACACCAAAACGTGTTGGATGCAATCTTGAAGGATCTTGAGCAAGCAATGTATGATGGAGGCAACTGTATTATTCGAGAGGGGGAGCCACTTGATATGATGATCTTCATCTCACGGGGCAGGGTTCTTACCTACAACACTACTAGTACTGGCCATGGTGGAGGAGAAAGTGGCTTGTCAAACACTACAGGTCCATGGCTTACTGGGGGTGATTTCTATGGACAAGAACTTATACGTTGGGCAGCGACATCAACCTCCTTTTCCAACTGGCCCATCTCCAACAACACCCTCAAGTCTCATAAAAAAGTTGAAGTCTTTGCCATAAGAGCTTCTGCTTTACTTCTTATTGTCTCTAAATACAAGAAGTATTTCAAGACAGAGACACAGAGCCCCTACCCAACGGATTACACTGTTATTGAGATAAATTAACTCGGCAATTCTTAAGTTATTACATGCAATACTGTGCAAAGTGTTGATGTGAGTCTCCTAATTAATCAAGGAGATTTATTTCCTTGATTAATTAAGGGATTTACTTTCCTATTTTATATAATTGATAAATCTTTGTATAATTAGGAGATACTTTCCTAATTCTTTCATGTATCTAATTTCTTGTATAGCACTCTTGTAAACTCTTATATATACCTCCTTATGGAGAAGAATAAATCATCTGAACATATTGAAAACCCGTATTCATATTTTAGCATGGTATCAGAGCAATCGATCCTAGGTTGTCTCTAAATCCTCGTATCAAATCCCTCATATCGAATTCCTTGAAACACGAACCCATATCCTCGTATCCTGAATCCCGAAACCCTAAACACAACTCGTATCGAATTCCTCGTATCAAATCCCTCGTATCGAATTCCTTGAAACACGAACCCATATCCTCGTATCCTGAATCCCGAAACCCTAAACACAACCCCGAAACCCTAAACACAAACCCGAAACCCTAAACATTTTTCCTCGTATTCTTCAATCATTCCGCTGCAATGAATATCGTCTCTTCCTCCACAATTGCCACTACTGGTTCCCCATGTTATGTTTTGCATAGTTCTTCAAAGAAACACACATGGGTCATTGACACCGGAGCCACTGATCATATGACCTTTGATCCTGGACAAATTTACTCTCATACACCGTCTTCTCAATCGGTGGTGTCTAATGCCAATGGTACCCCTTCCCCAGTAATTGGGGAGGGTTCCCTCTCTCTCTCTGACTCCCTCACTTTGGATTATGTATTGATTGTTCCGTCCTTACATCATAATCTCTTGTCTGTTGCCCAAATTACTACGGCTTTGAATTGTACTGTAACTTTTTGGCCTACTAATTGTGTTTTTCAGGACATTCTCAGCAGCAAGACGATTGGTTGTGGTACTAGGAGGGGCAAACTCTACTATCTGGACTTGGCTTCTGACAGTGATGCCAGCCTCAGTCAAGCTTACAAAATTGGGGGTGCGAGTGTTGAAAAACACACTTCCAAAGTATGGTTATGGCATCGCCATCTTGGACATGCTTCGTTTGGATACTTACAGAAGCTATTTCCTTCCTTATTTTCAAAGTTGGATATTTCCAGTTTTCAGTGTGACATCTGTGAACTGGCCAAGAGCCATCGTGTTCCTTTTCCCTTACGCTCAGTTAAAAGTCTAGTTCCTTTTTCTCTTGTTCATTCTGATGTTTGGGGCCCGGCTAGAATTCCCACTCCAGGGGGCGCTCGATGGTTTATCACGTTTATCGATGATTGCACACGTATGACCTGGGTTTCCCTTCTCCAAACCAAAGGGGACGTCAGTTCCAAATTTCAACAGTTCTATCACATGGTAGAGACTCAATTTCATACTCGAATTCAGATTCTTCGTTCCGATAATGGCGGAGAATTTCTCAACCATGATCTGAATCAGTTCTTTCAAGATCATGGCATCATACATCAACGCTCATGTCCTTACACTCCTCAACAGAATGGTGTGGCAGAAAGAAAGAATCGCCACTTATTGGAAGTAGTTCGTGCCTCACTCTTTGGTGCAAATATGCCTAGGTCCTTTTGGGGAGAGGCCGTCCTCTCTGCAGCATACCTTATAAATCGGATTCCCTC